TCTAACAATTGTTGTAATTTCTCTTCTCTCTTCTTGTTTCTTTTGCTGCTCTTGTATTGCTGCCATCAAGTCTGCTAAACTGTAGTTTGATTTTCGCCTCTCGTTTCCATTTTTTCTTCTTCTTTTTTTTATCCCACTCTCTGACACCAATTTGTTACGTTTCCGTTTGTTAATTAACTTTCCGTAACTTCGTTCCCACGAAACTTAAGCGACACAAGTCCTTTCTTAATAAAAGTGGTTTATTCTTTCCGAATATAACTTTACCGATACACTCAACTTCGACAATCATGCTAAACAAACGCTGTAACGTCTCTCGTGCTCTCTGACTGCAATTCAATTACTCACTGTCTATACACACATTACCGCGTCACGTTGTCCCCCTCTTATATATACAAGACTACCCTTTCTCGTAAATACTAGAGCATTCATGAAGGAACAAGATAGTTCTAGAAACTAGAGGGCGCCACACCAGTCACGTGACCTCAATGACGCAACAGAACGTTAACTTCAACTTGAATAATACTCTCTGACTGCAGATCAATTACTCACTGTCTACACACACCTTATTGCGTCACGTTGTGACCATCTTATATATACCAGACTACCCTATATCTAGTAATTTCTCGAAGGTTCGAGAGAAGGAGTGGCGTGATAATAGTCACGTGATCTCGCTGACGCAACAATACAGACATAGTCTCAGACTAATATACAGACCTAGCCTCAGACTAACATACAGACATAGTCTCAGACTAATATACAGACCTAGCCTCAGACTAATATACAGACATAGTCTCAGACTAATATACAGACCTAGCCTCAGACTAATATACAGACATAGCCTCAGACTAATATACAGACATAGCCTCCGTATTAGACACTTATTTCATTACAAAGATGAAGTAGCTAAATTTCTACGTTCATGGCTCGTGTATATATATGTAAATATATGTGTAGTGACTGTAAGGTCACGTACATTGGCAAAACAAAATGCCATTTAAAGACTAGAGTTTGTGAACATTTAGGAATATCTAACAGAACCAACCATCCACTACTTAAACCCAGCCACTCATTCATTCGATCACATTCTGAAACCACAGGTCACAATATTTAACGATTTCTCTATCATCACCACAGTATCTTCAGACCTTGACCTCTACAATAAAGAAAGTATACTCATAGCTAAAGATCACCCGACTCTTAACGACTCACAAAGCTCTGCCCCCCAGTGGCACAGTGGTATGTCTGCGGACTTGCAACGCTAGAAATCGGGTTTCGATACTCGTGGTGGGCAGAGCACAGATAGCCCTTGTGTATCTTTGTGCATAATTAAAAAAACAAACAAACGCAAAGCTCTTTAGATCTAAAATTGTTCTAAATTTTCACAATTAACTCACCTGTTGTGTATATATATATATATACACTGTATATATATATATACACTATATATATATAGACATCGTTTCATCCGTCCATTTACCGCTTTTCTTAATAATTAAGTAAATTATATTATAATTTTAGTTAGAATCATTTTTGTAACATAATTTTCAGATTTCGCTGAAAATGGAACATGTTATTTCGAAACGTTCGAACCTTGTAAATAAAATGTTTTATGTTCTATCAACCATCTTCATCTCCTTTCGAACCATCTTTGAAATCATCATTAATATTCCCTATTACCATCACATCTTGTAAAGTATAATACTCCCTTTCTAGTACTACTTTAACATTCTTTATTAAATTATGTTTAAAAAAATGCTGATATTTATATGAACGAGAAACATAGCTACAGCGACACCTTTTGACAAATATATTAAGTATGCGTAAAAATAATAAAAAAATACGTACGCAAAATATATATTTAGAGATTGTTGTTGCTCTTTATTTCAGAGCAAAACTACATTGGATTATTTGCTGTGTTCGGAGTGGGGAATTGAACGCCGGATTTTAGCATTGTAAGTTCGTAAACTTACCAATGTCCCACCGGGC